GCTCGGCCTAGGAGATAGGCCTCTGTGACTAACACCTCGCAAATACACTCACATTCCTTGGCCAACATCAGCCACCTCTGCACCACGCGGAGGACACAGCACACAGAAGGAGTTCTGTTTTATGTTCTTTTATATCTATATGTGTTTGTAATTTGCGAAGTGATGTAAAAACTATGATGACAAATAAATGATTTAAAGTGCTGATCTAAAGGTCGTGGGATCGATCCCCGGTAGAAGCGTTTGTTTTAAATTTTTTAATTCAAAATAAGACTCTACCCTATATGAATCTCTTTTTATACTATCTGAGTGAAAAGAGGCGGATCTACGTTGAATCATGTATCCATGGTCCTGAATGGACGTACTGAGGATGTACAAACGCGCGGAATCTGGATGTCCCCAGTACGTATACCTGAACGTCGACCGTACCAAATCTGGACGTCCCCAGTACGTACGAAACGTCTTGGCCGGACGTTCTCAGTACGTTTTGGGGACGTACTCGTGCTATATGGAAAGCCTACTCTATGAAAGTTGTGCCAGGAACAAATAATCGTTATTGTTTTTAGAGAGTTTAGCGCATAGCCTACTGGATATAAAAACAAAAATTGGAAATCAGTTCTCCTCATGAGATAAAACTGTGACTGTGATACATCATTAGAAAGGAAATCTTATGCTGATTTCAAATCTGTAGAAATCCAATATAGCGTCAATAAGAAAAACCGAAGTTGTAGGTGATATCTCAGAACTTTGACATTTTGATATAAAACTGACAAAACCATTGAAAAGAACACCAAAAAGTGCTATGAGATTGTTGGAATCACTTTTTCATAAAATAAATAGTTTCCGAGATATTCGAGAGAAACAAAAATACAAGATTTCATTTTTTCTCAAATAACTCAAGAATGACTGGAGCTAGCCTGGATTTCTTGATAGATTCTGATTCAACATGAAATTTGCTAAAACTTTGCTAATTTAAGCGTTTCTCTATCTCTCATAGTTACTGAGATACCAATGGTGAGGATCGAATTTGGGACACACTGTATATATTTCCATGGACGATGCTCTTCTGAAATATCAACAATTGTTCCTCCCTTGGCAGTCCCCGCGAGATTAACCCGTCGAGTTGAGGCTTCGCATCCCTTCGTGGTCACTTTCAAGACCTGCAGAACATCTCTTTCCAAAGACTCGTACATCCAACGAACAACGAGGCTCTGAAACACATTGCCAAGGGAGGTGTTCCCCGAGGCATATAACCTCCAGAAATTTAAGAAGAACACCAATTCCTACCTCATTTTCCTTGGTTCTCACAATGTTCTCTGAACATTGAAGGATATCCGTTTTCGTGCGAACCATAACATTAAAAAAAACCGCAGATGCACCAACATCATTTTCAACCAGTCAGATGTGAAGATCACACAAATATAGTGGTAGAGGTTTTTACGTTGGCAATAGGGTATACGCGTGTGAAAATTTTACACTAGAATATATTTTTGTTCCATTACTCATATGTATAGATGTCGAATTATACATCCGAAAAACATTATTAAGCACCGAATATTTAATAATTTCTGATTGAAAATCATGAAATTTGCAACTTTCCGACCAACAGCCGAACTGCAGCGATGATTTCCGACTGGATGTGGCTGTTTTTATTTGTCATGTCAAACATTCATGTCCGAAAGATTGAAAATAATATGAGAAGAGAAAGTGAGGTTATGATTATCTGAGCTTGTAGTTTCTATAATCTATCTCAATTATATGATCTCAATATTCTGAATAATAATAACTGAATAATAAGCAAATATCTACAATAAGAATGATCAAACAGGACTTCTTTTTGCATGTTGTTTCAAATATATATTACCACCTATCAATTCATATCTCATACTTTTCCATATCTTCTTCAAGCTGAAAACGAAATAACATATTATATTATTCTCCTAATAACATGAGGAACAAAATCATTGATATATAATGGGTTTCACTAGGACATACTTGAACGTATACTGACTTCAAAATGGTCTTCACAAACAAATCCTCTGGTTTTCTGGGATAAATCATTTTTATTTATGGCTTGAAACCATAATTTTCTTTTCCCTTTATTTTTATCACTCGATCCCACTGGCAATGAAAGGAATATTTTTCCTGGTGATACTTTTGTTGATGAAAGGCATTGCAGCACTAAACAGTATTTGGTATAAACATTATCATTTTTTCATTTTCCATTTTCAAATTTCAAATTTCTGGCGTTTAAAACTGTTTTCTGCTCCTACCTCTTCTTCTTCTTTTTTTTCAATCTGAATCTTGTCATTCTGTCGCGCTAGTCTATGGCTGTGCGGCCTAATACTATGACGTCATAATATTAGTGATGGCCACTAACCCGTTTTCCTGTGACTTCATATTTAGCCTCATTTAAATGAAACTTTTCAGAGTCACAAGCAAATTTGAGATTAATGAATGATATCCAATGTTATTATAAGGAAGAAGGAATATAATTTCGATTAAACGAAAAATCATGCGTATTCCTTATTTGTAGCAAACTTCCACATTGTATTTGATTTAATCATACGTACTTTGTATTATCAGCCTCACTGTCTAATACGGCCCTGTGTCCTGTTGAAATCCAATCATTATAATTGCTTTATTCTGGTATTGTGTGGTATTGAAATGAAGCAAGATACCGAGCTAAATCGCATTATATGTAGCATGTTCTCTTCTGACCGGAATTTCTATCATCAAACGAACGTTTCCCTTGCTTTTCTCCATTTGGAAATGAAAGGAAATGTGCGGTCAATGTCAGTCAGCGCTTATACAAAAGTTTATCTTTTCATGTGCGGATATTAGAAATTATTCCTGAATAGGAATGACGCGAAAGTAATTTTCTTGGAAATATGAGACCAAACGGAAGCCTTCATTTTGGAATTCGGATAGGGGTATAATAATTGCTCTGAGTTTTCTTCAGCATTTGTTTTACCGTCCAAAAATTATGTTTTTTCTGTGACGGGAAAAAAGTTTGGCATTTCATCTCTGTTGGCAGGTTATATAATGTCACTTTTCATAAATTATTTTTTTCCCGTGGGAAAAAAGTGAGTACTTTTATCCCGGATATATATCACATATATTTACACTGTTGATGGCTACGCGTCGGGAGACAACACAACCTGGAGCTGAAATCTACTACTTTTTTCCCTTGTATAATGAAGTTATATCGAAACATATGAATTCTTCTCTTATATTCACTCCTTGTAGCATCCCTCAAGGAAATAATTCATAACTTCTTCAAATGACGATGTTAAGGTTTCTAACTAGCAGAAATCGATTGATCTGCAAGAAATACACCTCCTTTGAATGTTGTTATGAATTATTTTCTTATATTCACCCCTTGTAGCATCCCTCCTACGGCCTGGCAAAATACTCAAACAGGTACTCGAGGTGTATTACTACCAGAACAATCAATTTCTGCTAGTAAGAAACCTTAACATCATCATTTGAAGAAGATTTGGAATATTTTCTTATATTCACGCCTTGTAGCATCACTCCTACGATCTGGCAAAATATTTAAATAGGTACTCGAGGTATATTTCCAGCAGAGCATTCGCTTTCTGCTAGTTAGAAACCTTAACATAATCATTAAAAGAAGTTATGAATTATTTTCTCATATTCAACCCTTGTAGAATCCCTCCTACGGCCTGGCAAAATATTAAAATGTGTACTCAAGGTGTATTTCCACCAGAGCAATCGATTTCTGCTAGTTAGAAACCTCAATATCATCAGTCAAAGGAGATATAAATTATTTTTTTATATTCACCCCTTGTAGTATTCCTCCTACGGCCTGGCAAAATATTTAAATAGGTATTCGAGGTGTATGTCTACCAAAGCAATCGATTTCTGCTAGTTAGAAACCTTAACATCATCAAATACGTAATCGAGGTGTATTTCAACCAGGGCAATCGATTACTGCTAGTTAGAAACCTTAACATCATCATTTGAAGGAGATATGATTTTTTTTTCAATATTTACCCCTTGTAGCATCCCTCCTACGGCCTGGCAAAATATATTATCAGGTACTCAAAGTGTATTTCGACCAGGGCAATCGATTTCTGCTGTTTAGGAACCTTAACATCGTCATTTAGAGAAGTTATGAATTATTTTATGATATTCACCCCTTGTAGCATCCCTCCTACGACCTGGCAAAATATTCAAATAGGTACTAGAGGTGTATTTCTACCAGAGCAATCGATTTTTGCTATAAAGAAACCTTGAAGTCATCATTCAAAGGATATATGAGTTATTTTATGATATTCACCCCTTGTAGCATCCCTTCTACGGCATGGCAAAATATATTATTAGGTACTCAAGATGTATTTCCTCCAGAGCAATCGATTTCTGCTTGTTAGAGACCTTAACATCATCATTTGAAGAATATATGAAATATTTTCTTTAATTCACCCCTTTTAGTATCCCTCCTGGCAAAATATTTGAATAGGTACTCCAGGTGTATTTCGACCAGGACAATCGATTTCTGCTAATTAGAAATCTCAAGATCGTCATTTGAAGAAGTATTTCGACCAGGGCAATCGATTTCTGCTGATAAGAAACCTCAACATCGCCATTTAGAGAAGTTATCAATAAAGTTAGTCAAGAATTATAGTATACACTATCACCATCAGCTGCTTTATTGATATTTTGTGTAACTATAGTCGTTATTTCGTATTTTATTCAGCAGAATCTTATAGTATTTTTTGAATTTCGGTATGAAATCTTCTTACCAGATCCCACTCAAACTCCAATCAAAAAGAAGAAATTCATTCTCGAACTTTATGAATATTTAAAAAAAATTCTTTCTTCTTCGACTCAGGAAAATTGTGGTATTATAAGTGAGAATTTCCTGTTCTGATAGGGATTTGAACCTACCAACCTTCCGATGTTCTGATTAATAGTCGAGCGCTATTCCGCCATCGGCATCAGGATATGAATTTTCAATACTTTCTTTTGTTCCAGGAATACGTTTTCGAAATGTGGTAGGCGGGGTTAGGGGGGTCAGCCCCCCTATAGACCTGGCGCCTTCGTCACGGATCAAAACGGCGACCGACACAGGTGAGAAAAACAAAAAACAAAAATAAAACGAAAAAAAAAACAAGAAAAATACTACGAAATAAATCAATGGGCGAGTGGACAATTCATTTTATTTCTTAAATAAAATCATCCGTTAAATACCTCTCAATTTCATATCATTTCAGAAGTTTTTGGTCGAGTTTTAGGTTTCATCAATAATGCTACGGTAATTTTCAAACGGCTAGAAATTCACCGCCAGTAGGAGCAGACTATAGCACAGTTGTTAGTTATTCAATAATTCATAAATTCTCAATTGAGTATTGGTAATATCCCTAATCAGCAATTAAAATTGAATTGTTTCAAAATGTTTCCTTATGATTTGTAGCTCATTGCTCGTAATAAATTTGTGTGAATAATATTTATTATTAATTATTATTAATATTAATTATTCATTCTGACTACATTTTAATCGGTGAACGTGACAACCCGACACACGAGGTGGTCTTGTCAGTTCTCAGCATTCAGCACAATGTTGCCAAGTCTCCAACATTTATATGATATTTTGTTATGGAGAATAAGAAATATTAAAACATGCTGGTTGCTCGAAACAGTCAAGAATGAACTATAATGTCATGGCTTCCTCCTATTATGTCCTGAACAACAATCTGGTTTTCGATGACTTGTTTTCAGCACTTGATAAAAATAACATGGCAACACTTGTTTTACTTGATTATTCGAAAGCATTCGATCGTATAAATCATAAACTTCTTCTATCAATATTGCATTACAACGGCTTCACCAATAGCGCATCATCTCTCATCGAAAATTATTTAGCCAACCGTATACAGATAGTGAAAATTGAAGATAATTACTCTGATCCCTTACATCTCACTACTGGTGGCCCCCAAGGATCTATTCTGGGGCCTTTACTATTTACAATGTATACTTCAAATTTGTCATCGTTTTTGTCGCATTGCAAGTCCCATTATTATGCAGATGATACCCAAATTTATCACTCGTTCAGCCCTACAGATATAGATTATGCTTGCACGGTCATTAATGAAGATCTTAATAACCTATCCAAGGCATCGAAAGATCATTGTCTGCTTATAAATCCCACCAAGTCTAAGTTACTGATTTTTGGCAATAAGAACCACCGAAACCAACTTCGAGCGACAATTAATATTTCTATTGACTCTGAGCCTTTGGATATTGTTGATTCGGCAAGAAATTTGGGAGTAATTATAGATAGTGACTTGAGATTTAGTGACCACGTAACAAAGATTATTAGAACGGCTTATTGCAATCTCAAACTTATCTATCATTTCTCCAAAATACTCGATACTAAAACGAAGAAAATTTTATGTGACTCCCTTGTCCTCAGCCATTTCAATTACGCGAATATTGTATATTTTCCATGCTTGACAAAACACGATCAAAATCGCATTCAGTATGTACAGAATGCCTGTGCACGGTTCCTTTATGGCGTAAGAAAACGCAACGCCATTTCTCACAGAATAAAAAATTCCAATTGGCTAACTATGAAGCAGAGGTGGCTCCTGCATATGAGTTGTTTCTGCTACGATGTCATTCAATCCAGGGTACCCATTTATTTATTCAAAAAACTATCATTCAGAGAAGACGTTCATACGATTAACACTAGATATCGATCTCGCCTGACTCCACCAAAATATCACACCTCACTTTTCAAACGCTCGTACACGTATATATCTTCCAAAATCTACAACGCTATTCCGGACACGCTGAAATCTATGAATAAAATTAAATTCAAAAGTTCAGTAAGAAAAATCATATTCGAAGGTCGATTGTCTCTATTGAGTGAACATTCTGTCGCTAAGTGAAGGAAATTAGATAATGAAAATTGCAATTAGATGTCGAATGAAAACCTATTTACGCAGGCTCCCTGGTTGCCTCCATTTCCTTGTTTGTCTATTTTTTGTCTTATAGTCACAATTCATGCTTTTTTGTTTTGTATTTTCCTTTATTTATTTTTTTTTCTCTATTATCTTCACCTTTAATTTTCTTCAGCTTTTTGTCATAGAACCATGCTAATGTTCTTGATTTATACAGGGTGTCCGCTAAAAGGAGGTCAATCCATTAACCACATTTCCTTGAACAAAAACAATATGAGTTTCTAAATACCAGTTTTCATTTTAGCCCATCATATTCGATTTATAGGGTGTCAAAGTTGGAAATTAAAAACTGTTTTTTTTAATTACTCGCGTATTTGATAAGATATTAATCTTAAATTTGGTACATTACTTCAGCACAAAGAGTTACATCGTGTGAGGAAAACATAACAGAAAATAACTTTCAAATATTCAAAATACTGGGGGTCAAGTACACACTTACTCACATATTTTTTTTGTACGTGCGCTAATGACTTCCTATCTATTCTCCTTCAAGTGTTCAATCATTCTAGTCTATTTAGATTTTTTATTGACATAGCTCGTTTTGTGAATTATGCTCATTGGTGAATTCAGATAATGTTTGTCCCAATAATCATAGCTGTTTGGGTTTCTAGCATTGTACGTTGACGAATAACTCTAGCAATTCACATTGTATGACGGTTATTAGGCAATCATTCGACAATCGTAATTCGGCTCATTTCGCCCTAGTGTTTCATTAGTATTAGGGCTGACAAAGATACAGATCGCGTTCATTTCACTGCTGTTCTGCATTCAGTGTAAGACTTGGTCTTGACATAAGTTTTATTCCAGTTATATTTCTATGATTGAATTTGAATTGGTAAATCTCTGAAAATCATAGATAGAATATTTCTGAGAATCCCAACTTCTTTACCATCCATGATTAATTACCTGTTCACACAAAATTTCAATATTTTCTCTCTAATATTAACCAAGAGAATAATTAGGAACGAAATCAGTGATTTTTAGTCTTTTCAAAATATTTCAGGAACGGCTGACATTTTTCGAAAGTGCATAACGTCATATTGAATAAGTTCAAATCAAGCAACGTTTGTCCTATCTAATCAACTTTATATCTCTTACTGTTTGGGAAATAGCAATACTGTGTTTATTAAATCGATGATGGGACACCGTATATTTCTTTACCACGGAAAGACCTCTCAAAGACCTTTCCAAAGACACATCATTCAATATAATCATCTTCCATATTTTTCAATTCTTGAGTATCTAAGACTAACAGAGTTTGATCGATTTTTGAAATAAAATAATAAAAATGATTGCAAATCTGTTCAGTAGAAGATAAAATTGTTATCATTGTCATGGCCTATACTCTCAAACACTATTCAAAATCCATGAAACTCTGATGTTTGTTTCAAATCGTTTTAAAAGCCTATATTTGGAGGAATACATGCAGAAGATGAATATATTGAGTAGGTATTTTTTCAGATAGTAAAAATGTATCTGTTTATTCGAGAAGGAGATAATATCATACATCAATAATCAGGGGTTGTCTTTAATTTTTTATGCAATATTCCAATATTGGGCCAAATCCGAGTTGAGATTCGGATTAAAAAGAAAATGGTACACTTCTACGCCTCTGTATGAACACTCAGACAATCATTTCATGTTGCGCCCTTTGATCCACAAAGCCCTCTAGCTTTTTTCAACCCAGTCCGCCCCTGATCTGCAGAGTGGAGAGTTACTGCAACATTTTATGGAAATAATTCCTATTCGACATTCTGTGTTATCATAGAAACTAGAACAAGTAGTAGTTATTCAGCAGCGGTGTTTAATACAAGTTTGCAAATTGAATGAGCTGTCATAACTACAAGTCACCTGAAAATTCACTTCATCTATGGTAGCAAATGAACACATCTGTCCCCTATTTATTGCAGATATCGTAATAACGGTTATTAGATTTCCAATTATGATAACTCAAGTTTTCTCTCAGTGTGCATGCCGATAATTCATCATTAGTCCACTCGCCAACCGTTCAAAAGTTGAACATGATTTTTGTGTACGTCAATTACTCCGTAACGAAGTATGATAGAAATTTTTTTTATATGAATTACTAACATTATTTTGTCTTACTCGATCATTTACGACATGAACTTTGCGGACACCCTGTATTGAAAGACCTATCTCGGAAAAGAAGGAAGTTACGAAGTGATATAGATACCGAAGTTTACAAACGTTCTATATAAACATTTTTCGAATTGATGAAAACTTTAGAGCTAATTATCTCAGTTTGTCACTATTGAGGGTTGGTAGCTTCCTTCTTAACGCCGTCCAATAGGCGAGTAAACTAATTTCGTTTCATTTCTTGAATGTTTTGGGTTCATATAAGCCCATCTTCAGCCAATAGAAATTATCATTATGTAAAAACTTCACAAACGATAAAATTTCCACAAAATTCTCAAACACACGACATGTTTTGCTAACACAGTAGCTTCGTCAGATGATATACTGGTACTGATATACTGGTACTGATATACTGGTGTTAGCGAAACATGTCGTGTGTTTGAGAATTTTGAAGAAATCTTATCGTTTGTGAAGTTTTTACATTTGCCATGAATTTCCAAATACGCTCCATGATCTGGAAAACAATGGATTCAGAATATCAAGGGACAAAGTGATTATGATCTTTGATCATTCTGATAAATGTTGTGGAGATGACTTTGGGTTTTAATATATGAACTACACCACTCCACTTTGAGTTACCATGGACTTCTCCTTCCAAAGATTAATATGCCATTATTGCGGAATCTGCGGTCAAGCGTTTTGGGAGAAACAAAACACTGTCTGTGATTATACCATGTTCTATCCACCTTGGCACAGAGATAGACGGATATAATATGAACAAATTGGGATGTGAAGTCATCGGCCAACTGTTGCTGCTGTTGATTCGAGAAGGAAAAACTTCCCTTGTTTAAAATATAGTTATTTATTATACAAGGGAAAGAAGTAGTAGATTTTAGCTCCAGGTTGTGTTGTCTCCCGACGCGTAGCGGAGGGAGACAAAAAACCGTGAGCTAAAATCTAATATTTTTACCGTGTATAATACACTATTTTTTTCCGTGACAGAAGAAGGGACGAATCAATATTGAGAAAATATTACATTATTTTGGAATCTGAAAATTATCGACGTGAAATTTTAAGTTTTCAACAGTAGGGACACCTGCGTTGTAGGCATCTTTATTATTCCTTTGGAGTAATCAAATATCTGATGTCACTTCTGCCAGTCTATTTCTGTGATTTGATTTCAAAAAATTGCGAAATTAGTGGTTGTTTAGTAATATACGTAACCGCGAAGTCGAATGGAAGATATATGTATATATAAAAGGACTTACAGTTTTTTCTCGGAGACGGTATTATTGACTCATTTTTCGGAACTATAGCAGAAAAAAGTCATCAACAGTGTATATATATGTGATATACAGGGTAATGTAAATTTCCTGGTTCACTATTGTTATATCAGAAACTAAGAGATATGCAAACTAGATTGAATAACGAAAAAAAAGAGCTATTTCATGACTATCTCGAATATCGAAAGAAATCGGGGATTTCTTCTATATTTCCTGAAATATCCTGAAAAAACTGAAAACCATCGATTTTTAAATTTATCAATAACTTTTCAACTATTGCTGCTAGAGTATTGAAATTTGGCACACTTATTGGAGTTCGCATGCTAAATTCAACGGTGAGATAAAAAAATTTCTAGGCCCACTAAATTCGAAGATATCGAAGCCAATTTTGATTTTTTCAATGGCCGCCATATTGGATTTTTCCACCATCGGATAGATTATAAAATAACCAATTCATCGATGTATCACACTTCTATATTTAATTCAGGAAATATGAAAAAACAGGAAACATTTAAAATAACAAGTTGATGTGAGATCTGCTAGGCTTACAATTCCCGTAAGTACCAATCCATCTTTGTCCAAATAATATTTGACACAATGTCTGAGAAACCAATGCAGCGTTGTGGGCAGGGGCTCCATCATGTTGAAACCACATTTGACAAATTTCAATTCTATCTCTCAGGAGATTTCTATATTTTTCTCCGTTCAGGCGATCTTCAAGAAAAAATGGACCCAGAACACTTTCAACGGAAAATCCTATTCTGTAGCCATTCACAAAAAAAGGTTCGCCTGGCAAAATCATCCCGATTGATTCCTTGCACTACATGGTAGTGATGGAGATGGAATTTTAGTTCCTTTAGTATTCTACTAGCTGTAGATTGATTGATATTACATTGTCTTGCAATTTCATAAGTAGATATCTTTGGATTTATGTGGACTTGTGCTAGGACATTTATAATGTTATGATTCAACTCTCTTCTCATTCCGTACCTACATGAATTATCAAATTTTTTATGAAACAATTCAAAAATGTATATCCATATCTCACCTTGAACGCCTTGCTGCGAAACTACCATCTAGTCTAATCTTCTGTGCTACCCTTTGAAAATAATTTCGCGATGGCTGAATTCGTTCAGGCCTTGCTTACATGGAATTTAAAAAAACATCGTACGTATCACTCTTTTCTTCAATATTGTAAACGTTCACCATCTCAATTCCGTTTCATTGAAGATGAGAACAATGGTAATTTTTGTTAGAATGGCAGTTCTGAATTTTTGATGTTTTAACAATCATCTAGCAATATGAACTGGAAAATCTGACAGCTGCTCCCTTGACTCTGATAATATGTTTTCCACAATAAAATCGGAATTGCACATCAGCTCGCGAATATTATTTGCAAATAGACCTACGGAGACTTCTGTCTATTGTATCATTCGACTATGACACGAATACAATGATTATTCTAGCACCATCGATGCTACTACATCATAGATTTCACTTGATATTTACAATTTTTCTGTTTTTCGATATATCCTACATAAAACATACAAGTGTGACACATCGATGAGTAATTTTATGATCTAATTATCCAATATGGCCGCCATTGAAAAAATCAAAATTGGCTTCAATATCTTCGAATCTAGTGGGCCTAGAAATTTTTTCATGTCACCGTTGAATTTAGCATGCGAACTTCAGTAAGTGTACCAAATTTCAATACTCCAGCAGTAATAGTTGGGAAGTTATTGATGACTCAAAAAGTCGATGGTTTTCAGTTTTCTCGGGATATTTCAGTAATTATAGAAGATATTCTCGATTTCTTTCGATATTCAAGATGGTCATGAAATGAGGCATTTTTTTCGTGATTTAACCTAGTTCGCATCTCTCTCCGTTTCTGATTTAACAATAGTGTACCATGAAATTTGCATTACCCTGTATATCCTGGAAAAAGTACTCACTTTTTTCCCACGGGAAAAAGTAATTTATGAAAAGTGACATTTTATAACCTGCCAACAGAGATGAAATGCCAATTTTTTTTCCCGTCACAGAAAAAAAATGAATTACAGGGGGTGGTATAACGTGTCACCCACAGCCTGGATACACCAAAATCAACTCGTTGCAGTAAATTTAAAAAAAATCCCAATCCACACAGCTCACTCCGTTCTTTCCGATGTACTTTCATCCCCCATAATATAGCTCCACGTACGTTTCCTTCTCCTTTCTGAGATAAAGAACAATTTCCAGAGGATTTATGTGAAACCGAACAACGAGAAACCCCACATAAATCTGCTTCGACGTGTCTCTCGGAATTCTCTCTATAACTCACAAACAAAACGTCTGATAGATATAACTACCGTTGCACCTATAATATATACACGCGATATCTGTCAAATAAAGGCACGTGGAACACTGTTCTCGAAATTGGCAGGTCAAGGACGTCTTGAATAAGTTATACAGGGTGAATACTGTCTGTAGCTTAATCGGGAAGGAGGTTCATTCATTAGAATTTTTGGGATTTTCTCTCCTCGTTTCAATAAAATGAAAATAAGAATACTATCTCAATGTACGTGTAATAAGGACAAATCAGATGATTTGCCCCAAAATGTCACTGCGTTTAAAGAATTTTCCTATCAGAGAGCCTAGAAGAAAAATTCACTAGCTTGTCAGTGACAATTTGTGTGTTCCAAAGAGACAAACAAAACATGAATCAGATTGTCCAAACTCAGATTTAGAAGGCCAATCGAACGGTGCGAAGAAAATGTATGTTCCTATTTGAAATTAAAAAAAGTTGCTGTCGACTTTTGGCACACTCAGTTTAATCTCTGTGGTAGAAATCCATGGTTTTTCAGTTCAGCTGAAGGACTAAAAATATTCCTGATAGATTGGTAATGATCGATTATTTCAAAGTATTCAATCCGACTGTGAGTTGGAAAACTTTGAATGTGTGTAAATCATCCTGTATATCTATCTAATCCATCCATTGAAGAAACATTTGAGTATTTCTTTATATTTTCCTTTTGATAAGGTAGGTACTAGTCTGTGAAAATGTTGTAATGTGAGTAATATTGGACTCCAAAATAAATGGAAAATGAATTTCCATTTCTCACAATCTACGCTCGAGGCGATAGGAATGGATTTTCTCATGATTCAGTTGGCTGCTAGCTTGTCGTTTGTCGATGCCAGGCCTCTTCTTATTGGAAAAAGTAGGGAAAAATGTATTTCGAATACAAATAAAAGTTGCTGGCCAGAAGGAAAAGAGATTTTCATATTCGCGTAGAAACTGATGTTGTACAGGGTGGTTCAGGTGTAACGAATGTGATTTAAATTTTTCGTCTATCTGGCTCAGTTTTCTAGATGGACATGAAAAAAATCGATTCTGTGTCCTACACTTTCTACACAGATTCCCATTTGGTAAAAAGAATCATAATTATTTCTCTACTGCGATGAGGAAGGAATGGTTCTAGTCGGACATAGACAATTGTCTTCCGTGACAAATTTGAAGGCTCTACGAAGATTTTGATTTTTTTTGTCGAAAAGGAAACTTTTTTCAGATCTTGATAAAAATTAGAAACGCACGAAAACTTCTTTACAGGGTGTTATCGAAGTGTTGAGCATGAATATAATTTTTATTTCTATCTATCTTGCTGCATCCTGCGCAGTCATTCATATTCCCTCTCGGGAAAAAATCATTACATTGTTCTACTACGATGAATGAAGAATGGTTCTAAAGGGACAGGAAATTGCATTAGATTCCTTTATACCAAATTTGAAGGCTCTAGGATGATTTTAATTTCTTTGATTCTATTTCAATTTCCGATAAAAATTAGAATCATCTGAATACTCATATACAGGGTGTTGTCGATGTACTGAATACGAATATGATTTCTATTTTTGTCTATCTTACCCAGTTTTCAAGATATTTCGAATTTTCTGCGCCCTTCATAGTTACAGATTCCTTTTTAAAATAAATCCATAACTTTTTTCTACTGTTACGAGTAAATAATGTTTTTATAGTGGGACATAGACAATTGGGGTCAATCATACCAAATTTGAAGGCTCTACAATGATTATGAGTATACAGGGTGTTCTCGAAATGTTGAACATGAATATGGTTTCTATTTTTATTTATTCAGACTACGATGAAACAGCGAAATTATATACAGAGTGTCCCAGGAGTATACGAACGTTATTCTATTTGATGTATCCAAATATTTCCGAAATATATATTTGAATGAGTACTTCTAAATTTCTAGGATATACCGATAGTAATTATTTGAATACACAAACTTTTGAATAAGTAAGTACTACTGAACTCTCAGGATACACCGATAGTAATTATATTTAAATGCACAAAATTTGGATATATTCGAATCATGGGCGCTGGGAGGGGGAAGCAGCCATTTTTTTTTATTTCAACAAGATGTCGGACAAGATTTGGTCCGATTCCATTCAAAATTGGTAAGTGGGGGTTTTTGAGGTCGGAGATCATGATTTTTTTGTTGAATTTTATAAATTCAAGATGGCGGCTTCCAAATATTTCTTTGTTTTTGTATAAATGACTATAACTCTGTTGTTATCAACACAAAACTATTACTGCGACATATCATCTGTGAGAGAAAAAAAAGTTATTTGTAACTAAGTCATAGTGAGCTATGACCTACATTTGAAAAACTAAAGTTGGTGCTGATATCTCAAATTCTAGAAGAGTTGGTATAAATTTCATATTTTTTTCGAAATCACTTTGAAAAACTGCCATGAGAATGTGAAATTACTATTCGAGTATTTTCATAAATAAAGAAGTTACAAAGGAGACATGAAAATTATCAAAATTTGTTTTTTGCGTATAAAACAAAAACGAATAGATTTTATCGAAATATTTCTTCACATTAAAGTTGGCCTTGACAAACTCCACATTTGGTGTCATTTAACCGACCTCGTATCTCTCACCGTTAAAAAGATACCCATGGTGAGCATGGTAAGTGGGACACACTGTATACAGTTTAGCACTTTATTTTAATGACTTTTCCTATATTATGTCCTCTGTGACCATAAAGGATGAATAAAATCATTATTATAATTATTATTAGTATTCTTATTGTGTTCCTTTTTCCTAATCCAAATGTGATTTTCAATTGTTATTTGTTTACGGTGTGCGCCCCCTTGCCTGAATGTTTTCCTGACGGCGCCCATGATGCGAATACTTTTATAATATTCCAATACTCTATAAAAGTATCTAAATCTTCTTCAAACATTCGAACCCTAGCTGTGACGTATCCAAGTACTTCTTCATTTATTATTCAAATGCTTGTCAACCATTGAAAATATTCAATCTTTAAATAGCATCCAGTATTTTATAATAAAATCAAATTTTTTCCCGACGATAATCAAAGCTTCCTTGTTTCAGATGTCCTGACAACGGGCCCAGGGCCACCACGATGCCAACAGAGGACGACTATGGCCGAAGACAAATCTCGTCATCGCAACCACAACATCCCCCCACAAACACTCCCTCGCCTTCTCCTCTACCCTCTCATTGTCCTGCTGGCTGCGTTCCTGCGAAAAACCCGCTCGGCAGCGATCGGGTGCCTTCGGGCGTCTTCGGCGGCGATCGGGCGGTCTTCGGCAGCGATCGAACGCCTTCAGGCGTCTTCGGGAGCGATCGGACGCCTTCGGGCGTGTTCGGGAGCGATCGGGCGCCTTCGGGCGTGTTCGGGAGCGATCGGGCGAGTTCGGGCGTGTTCGGGGGTGATCGGCCGGGCTCAGATCGGCTGCCGTCGGGCGAGCGGTATCAGGGCGTATCGGAGAGGTTTCCTTTGGGCGAGAGGCCACAAACGTCGGTGTCGGCGGATCGGTTGGCTGGGAAGGAGCAGCAGCAACAGCAGCAGCTGCAGCTACAGGGGTCGGGCTATTGCCAAGACGATAGACCGAATTATCAGTCGGAAAGGTTCGTATACAATATATTGAAGACTGGAACCTTTGGCACGATAACACACTACACACTGTTTTACCACTAACCAAACCGATTTTTTAAACCTCGACACGTGTTTCTCTAACTATGTTAGCATCGTCAGGTGAAGATTAAACCTAAATGCTTTATTCTAGTGGGCTACTTATATACTAAGTAAATGTCTATACTATTCTTGAATATCTCTAAGCTTACATATGCATCTAATTTTTCAACATTATCAACTAATTGCTTAACTGATTTGAGGTCATTAATATGTGTGTTATGATTGTGATTGAACATGTGTTCGGCTACACACGATTTATCTAACGTACCATATTTCAAATGTAATGAGTGTTCTTTGAACCGTGTTTTTATGGGACGCCTGGTTTGGCCTATATATGTTTTATCACAATCATTACAACTATTCCTGACTTTGCAAGTGTGTCCACCTTATCTTTTGGATTAACTAATAAATTGCCTAACGCTTTCAAAGCCTAAGTATTTGAAAACCTTATCAAGTCCTCTTGTGTACTTGGGAATGAATGAGATTGAGATTTTTCTCGAATTGTTTTTATCCGCTTCAAAAGTGGTAGAATTCCTGTCTTCGTATTAATTATTTATCTACTATTTTGATATCATAACTATTGACGCCAGCCACTTTATAAACAACACTCCTTTCAACATCGAATCTTTGTTTGCTCAGAGGAAATGGAACTAGTTTATGTACTAGGGAGTTTGAACTTGCCATTTTGTGTTGAAAACAGTGATTGGAGTCATTAGTTTTGTATCTAAGTGTGTTAGTTTCTTTCCTAAGAACATCCAATTCTAAATTGTTTTCGCAATTTTCGATCACAAGAACATCTATGAATGGTAATTGGCCGTTGTTTTCGCATTCGAAAGTGAATTTGATAGAGGGGAAGCAATTGGTTGATTGTGAAATGAAGTTAACTATATCTGTGATTTTCGTATAAAAAATGGCAAAAATATCATCGACATCTAATCCAAACCCTAGGGAAATACTTACTCGAATTTTTTTTTTGCCCCGCTGTTCGTTGGATGTACGAGTCTTTGGAAGATGTTCTTCAGGTCTCCAAAGTGACCACGAATGGGTGCGAAGCCTCAATTCGAAGGGTTAATCTCGCGGGGACTGCCAAGGGAGGATCAATTGTTGATATTTCAGAAGAGCATCGTCCATGAAAATATCTATAAAATAGAGCCAGATCGCCAACTTGTCTACGGTGTCTTCAAAGGTATGGTTACTCCTGACAAGCTTATGTTGGGCTCAGTGAGATCGGCTTTTCTAGAGAAAAGGCATGCTTGTGTTTTGTTCGCATTGAAATCTACCAAGTTATTGAATCCCCATTCGAAAATTGTTGCCAAGTCCATATTTATGTTGTCAACATTTCTCCCTCGTTCGTTTCTGATTTGCCTGGCTGATATTGAAGCCCTGGAAGGGAAGACGGTATGGAGGCTGGGGAGCTGGTGAACCAAGCCATAAGATGGAAGCTTGGCGAGGAGTCCGTGGTGCCAGACTCGATCGAATGCCTTAGAGATATCAAGTGCCACTGCTAAGGTTCCACCATATTTTTCAATAGATTGCTGCCATACATGTGAGACATAAGCGAGCAGGTTACCAGTTGGTCTCTGGACGGAAGCCATATTGCCTATCGTTGATAATACCTGAATGTTACAGGTATCTCATGAGCCCGATGTTGATAGCTTTCTCCATGATCTTTGAAATAATAGATAGCAGTTCGATCGGTCTGTAGTTGCTAGGTAGGGTCTTTTTGTCTTTTTTAGAAACTGGTTGTTGGACGGGAATATCCCCAATTTGTAAGAATAGTTGAACAACTTGCAGAGAACGGGTGTTAGTTCGGGAGCACATTTCTTGAGAACAATCGGTGGGATTCCGTTGGAGCCACAAGCTCAGTTGGTGTTGAGACCCAATAAAATCTTCCTTATAGTACGTTGGCGAGAGGTGATCTCGGGCATATAACTGTCAATTGGCGTTATGTTTGGAGGTTGATTCCCAGATGAATCCAGGGTGGAATTCCCAGCAAATAAATGCGCAAAAATGTTGGCTTTCTCCTGGGCAGTTGTGGCTAGTGTTCCATCTTCCTAGGTTAGAGGAGGAAACGAGCTGGAAGTGAAGTTTCTTTCTACAGAAGGCGAAGGACCAAAATGAACGGGATCCGTCAGGACATTCAACAAGTTTTGATGTTATTTTGGCATTATGAGCATCTTTTGATGATCGAATTGTCCCATTGCATATGCCTTCAGCCTCGACATATTCTGCTCTAGTCTCAGGGCCTGGATTTTTTTGCCATCGATGGAATGCTGCCTGTTTGGAAGCGACAGCTCTAGAGCAGTTTCTACTGAACCAGGCCTAATCGGAAGATGTTCTCCTTGCAGTGTTCGGTATGTAGGTAAGCATCCCCAACATGATGATTTCAGAAATTGTCTCAGCACATCGTGTTGGATCTGCTGAGGAGAAACAAACTCTCTTCCATGGAAACGCTGACAAAAACATACGAAGACCTTCCCAGTCGGCCGAATTGTAATGCCACATGTGACGGGTATGAATTGTGGTGCTGGATGGTACATGGAAAGAGCAGGTTGTGGAGATGAGGGTGTGGTCAGAGTTTCCAAGTGGAGCACAAACTTCTATTCTATATGGATCAGGATTGCTGGTGAGAAGAAGATCTAGTGTATAGGCTGCTGCAGACTGGTTGTTGACATCTGGAATGCGGGTTGATAGTTCGACTAGTTGTTCTAGACCATGAGTGATGACGAAGGCCTCAGTTTGACGACCTGCATCATCTGTTTTGTTAGAAAATTTGAGCCAGTCTGCGTTGTGTATGTACATTGAAGTCTCCCATGATTATGATTTCAGCTGTTGGATGGTTCTCCTGAATGAAGTCCAGTTTGAGTGATAAGAACTCAAAGAGGTTGTTATATTCATTATCATTAGGCGAAAGGTAAAGGCAGCAGATGAATTTGGTCAGTTTGGTATCGACTAGCTTGACCGCATCACATCAAAGTCTTTCGGTTCCAAACTCTCTACACGCTGGCATGGAAAGTTAACCTCAGCGTAGAGGCAGACTCCACCTTTGAACCTGAATCGAGAATGGAGTTCGTAACCAGGGCAGAGCATGTGGACCTAGTTGCTGGACGAGCTCACTTGAGTTTTTATTAGTGCCGTTTGTAGATGATCTTCAGGGATAACTCCCCTCGAGTACCTCTCGCCTGGAAATCCGAATGGAGAGGTATTTTACTTCCGAAGTGTTCCACTCTAGGAGACTTCATCATCTTTATTCATAGAGAGGATAAATTGGGGAAACGGGTGGGGAAGACCAGAAAGTATCGACCGAACACTGAAACATGGAGTGATCCATTTCACAGCACACGAAGTCGATATGGTTTGGATACCACCTAAAGTTATCCTTCTAGTCGCCTTTTACGACAGGCAGGATTTACCATGGTGGTTTATTCTGACCCGCCTCCATACGGCATATATGATCATAACAATATTAGTATCTTTGCAATGTTATAACAAGATCCGAACATAATCAACCCGCACTAGGACATGTTGAAAACCCGTGAAAGTCATGACTTGAAAGATGCATATATTGAAAAAACGTCGCACAAAATATATCATTACAGGCCAGTCTATAGGTACAGACGATATTTCTAGATCACAATAAAGATTCCCTTATTTAGTTCACTCCAAAAACAAAATGAGAAACCAAAGAAATAGCAGATTTTTCTTCGGCAGGTACGCTTTCGAAAGGTCGAATTGCGAGCGGTTCGTCGAAAGGTACCAGAACCTCGGCAGCTTGGACAGGTACCACCACGGCCACGGCGCGGTCGACCGGTACCCTAGACAGGCGACCTCTACCGACAGGTACGAGAAGGATAGGGGCGGCGATCGTTATGCGGGGCAAGTGGAAAAGTACCAGGCGGAGCAGGAGGATACGACGCAGGTGAGATTTGGGGCATTTTACCACGCTTTTATTATGAGCTTGGTATATGTTTGTTCATCTGCAACCAGGGTTGGCATGAATTAATTCATATGAATTAAATCAGTGATTCAATTCGTGAATTAATTTCATTGACTTTTTTCGAAAAAGTCATGAATTCATTCAAATTTTTAAAAATGAGACAAATTGCACTATTACCTTTGATTTTAACTAGTTTGAACTGGAAAATTCGATCGTATTTTGGCAAGACTTTGTTATTTCAAGCATGATTTTCACTAACAGATATATACAGTATCAAGTATCATCCATAAAGTCCATAACATATGAGAACAGGTGTATTATCATATCGAGTTTTTTTCTCTCGGCGATCCATCATGCATATTCGATAACTTGAAAATCGATTTTGACACATGTCACGTGATCACTGGTATGGTGATAAATAAAAATAATACCATAAAGCGAGGAAAAGTGGGGTTAGATAACAAAATATCCATAAACATTTCTTATTAAGTTGCTATTCCCCATTCAGTTTCGAGCAATTTTTGGAGGAGAATTGGAAATAGCTATATTTTTTCGAATATTCTTCAATTTTGTTACAATTCTCTTTTTTTTTCTAACCGTAGTGATGTTGATGATGTACAAGTTGAATAGAATTCAATTTCATGCTCACATATGGAGTTTCCAGCCATTATTTGAGAAAACTTCCCATCCAACCCCACTTTTTGCCATCGTAATTTTTTGAATTTACCGCCATACCAGTGATCAAGTGACATGTGTCAGAATCGACTTTTGAGTAGTCAGACATGCATAATAGATCCCCAAGAAAAAATGTTTCGATATTCTACTAATAAACTTTTTCTCCATGTGTTACGAACTTTATGGATGATACTGGATCTATACTTCATCATCACTTTTAATTTTGTTTTGAAAAAATTACATGTTATATTATGACGTATTATGATGTTAGTCTACAAGATTTCTGAAGGGAATAAAAACATAGTTTTTTTGTTTCTTTTTTTCTATTTCGCTTTGGGTAAATGATTCTTTTTTCCAAATGAATAATTCCAAAAATGTCTGACTTAATTCAAAAAGTCGGACTTCGATGACTTTTTTATAAAAGTCATGACTTATTCCAACCCTGTCTGCAACTATTGTGTACAGAATACTGCTAGGGAAACTATATCATTATGGATTCAGTCTGGTTACTTTCAAATGGTTTGAATCATACCTTCTTGAGAGGAAACAAACTGTTAAAATTTCTAATGAAACTTCTGGCTTCTCACATGCCAAATCAGAAGTTCCTCAAGGATCAGTGCTTGGTTCTATTGTACCTGAATGATCTAACAAGCTTACCAATCACGGGAAAATTAACTCCATTTGCTGACGATACTACCCTCCTTTGGCATGGAAAAAAATGTAGAAAACCTAAAAACAGTTGTAGCCTAGGAACTCGACGATGTCAAATCTTGGTGCGATTCAATCTCTCTATGCTTCAATGTGGAAAAAACATAATTATTACCTTCAAAATTTAGTTTGAAAATTTGATATTGGGTACACATCAAGTTGAAAACAGAACAAGTACTAAATTCCTGGGTATCTTCCGCAATAATTATTGAGGTTGGAATCATGAATTCGCACCTGAGAGAGATGCCAATGATATACACTCGAGGACCTAGGGGGAATAACTCCAGTAATTTCACTGTTCGCCAGCAGCTATGGAATCACCGAAATTTCTGGAAAATGCCATCAAGAGGAAGAATATCGATGAAAATGACACTCTGTATATATTAACCAAAGGAGGATTTCTAAAAAACCCTCGCAACTCTAAAGTCTCGTTTGAAATTCCCCATAACTATGATACGATGTTGCCGCTTTCACCAAAAATCAGTAGGACCCCGACAAATCTAGGGTCCCCTTCAAATTCGCGATAACTGTCGTGTCTCGTTCCGAAGGTGGTGTTTGCCGCCCCCGACCGCCGCCGAACCGCCTCCAAGCCGGAAATCTTCAAGTCGAGAGACAGGGAGCGGTGCGAGCAGTACGAGCACCGCTTCCAGCAGTACTACCACGACAGGTACGGATATCACCACCACCACCACCATCAGCAGGACAGGTTTCCGGCGATACCGTGCCCGGAAAGGTTCGCTACCGCCTCCGAGTTCGGGCTGGAGCCGCCGTCGCCTGCCCCCGCCAGTGACAGGTTTGTAACGAATATTGATTATTGAAAAAAAAAAAATTTGCGCATTTAAGCAAAACCGTATCTCTTGTGGTTTAGAATATCCCCATTTTGGCCCTCCTTATCTTGGACACAGTGTACATGGTGTTTCTTAGTGTCATAGTTGAATTCTAATTTTCGTTTTTTGTTCATAAATTCCAAAATATTTGTGATATTCGAATGGATTTTGTTTCCTAGAGATATTTTTCAATGACAGTATCAAATTTTATGTTAGTTTGTTTATTTCGTGAGGGTGGCGCCGCCTACATGTCTTTTGAGTCTTTTGAAAAGTCATAACTTTTTTGTGCGTACCTGTATTACATTCAATAGTAGAAGAAAAGATTCCTAGAACACTTTTGTGTAAAAAATATATTCCTGCTAGAGGTCGCTGCGAGCAACGGTTCTCGAGTTATTGGGATTTGAAATAATCGATGCATTTGAATTATTCTCATGGGACTCGTAAGTTGCCTCTAAGGAGTAGATATCAGAAAAGATACGCCAGTGCATTTTTCTTCTTATATTCAATATTCTATTTCAGATGGATTGGCCGAGGAGCTGAAGTTCCAAATCAGTTCTGGCCTCCGAGGTCCCCGGATTTAATTCCAATCGATTTTTATGTGAGGTCACTTGAAGGCCTTAGTTAGCCTCAATTAAACTACTCAACACTAATTTCGTCGCACACCAAAATGTCGCCCCTGATATAATGTGAATAACTTTTTTCAGTTTAGAACAATTTGAATTTGGTTCACACTGTTCGATAGCCCAGTCCTTCAGCTATAATCTCGTACTTCATTGAAACATGAGGGTATTCACATAAAATCTCTACATGGTGTTTTCCGACACTGTGCAAAATTTCGGAATATACAAAAGGCTCTCAAATGGCGAAAAAAAATTTTTTCTCAACTTCGACAACAGAGGCATGATGATGATCTCATTACCTCGAGATATTTCGCGAATCAACTTCCTATCTCTTTTATTTACAGAGTGATCTCAAAAAATCAACTTTTTGGTTTTGCAGCCATAACTTTTTTTCACGTCAACCGATTTTGGGAATCTTAGGCTCATTTTGAAGATAAAACTTCAGATGAAGAGATCTGAATATCAGAATTGTCTCAAGATGACTATCAAAGATCTAGAGTTTTCTTGAAAGTGACCCAAATCTGGAACGCCCTCCAAATCTCGGTTGGGAGGAGAATTGAATGAAAATCAACTTGTTCTCGGAAAAACAATTCATTCTGGATGCGTCCATATTTTCCTCGCACTCAGTACTCAAGAATGTGCGTGAGAAATCACAATTGAAACATGTTCTTGCAAAAACATCAGACCATTTCTCCTCTGTAATGCATGGCCCGTAACCAACGTTACAAGAATCACAGTAAGTGTCTGACAATTCAGGTTAGACGTCGTTTTCGAATCTTAAACAGATTTTGATAGTTTCGATGCCGCATCTAACGACCGACCAGTTGGAACTGATTCCACAAATGAGGGAACAAGGGTTATCTTCCCTCCAATTCGCGGATCTGCTAAACACGACAGTCCGAACCATTCAAAGGGCTTATCTCCGACACGAATTTTTTGTTTATTACTGTCGATTTGTTCGACGCATTATTGCGACTGAAAACTTTACGTAATTGGCAAACTGTTTTCGTGAAACTTTCACCATTTTTGAAATGCGTTTTCACAATAAATAAACGTTGTTTGCTTGAATACTTCTCCATATTCTTAAATCGCATGTTATGTACGTGACAACTGTTAAAAAAATCACTTTATTGAAAAAATCAAAATCCGTTGCTCTTGTTGGTACACCATTTATGATGAGCCTCAGCTGGTCGGGTTTGTCAGTCACTCAGTGTGATTCTTGTAACGTTGGTTACGGCGGGCCATGCATTACAGAGGAGAAATGATCTAATGTTTTCGCAAGAACATGTTTCAATTGTGTTTTCTCACGCACAATTCTTGACTACTGAGAGGTAGGACAATATGGACGCATCCAGAATGAATTGTTTTTCCGAGAACAAGTTGATTTTCATTCAATTTTCCTCCCAACCAAGATTCGAGGGACGTTCCAGATTTGGGTCACTTTCAAGAAAACTCTAGAACTTTGATAGCCATCTTGAGTCAAATCCGATATCCAGATCTCTTCATCTGAAGTTTTATCTTCAAAATGAGCCTAAGATTTCCAAAATCGGTTGACGTAAAAAAAAGTTATGGCTGCAAAACCAAAAAGTTGATTTTTTGAGATCACCCTGTAAATAAGAGAGATAGGAAGTTGGTTCGCGAAATATCTCGAGGTAATGAGATCATCTTCATGCCTCTGTTGTCGAAGTTGAGAAAACATTTTTTTTAACCATTTGAGAGCCTTTTGAATATTCCGAAATTTCGCACAGTGTCGGAAAACACCATGTAGAGATTTTATGTGAATACCCTCATGTTTCAATGAAGTACGAGATTATAGCTGAAGGACTGGGCTATCGAACAGTGTGAACCAAATTCAAATTGTTTTAAACTGAAAAAAGTTATTCACATTATAACAGGAGCGACATTTTGGTGTGCGACGAAATTAGTGTTGAGTAGTTTATTTTGGAAATTAACAAGAAAAAAAATAACAATTCAACTTTGACACTCTGTATCTCGGAAACGAACAACTTTCAGACATATATTTATACGAAGTTTTCTTTTTATATTGACGTCAGCAACATGCTCCTGGATTTTCTACACGTACTTAAGAAATACCCTGTATATCCCTATGATAAGCAATAATGTTTCTTGGGGTAATGAAGACAATCAATCAATGTGTATCCATTTGACTTTTGCAGGTTTTTCCCGCCACCCCCGCTCTCCCCCGATGATTCACCCGCCTCCGATTGTTTCTCGAACAACGCGTTCCCCTCGCCCACCGAGAAGGCGCCGCCCCCGGAACGATTTTCGCCGCCTCCGCCTCTGTCTCCCTCCCCCACCGAGACCTACAAGCGGTACCATCAGGGGTACGCGTCCAGTCGTCCCAGCGATCATAGGTAATTCGATCTTTATTTCATCATTTCTCCTCTCGTTCTTTTTTTTCCTTTTTTTTTTCTCCTGCGTTTTTTTGCTTTGTCGTCATTACTTCAACTTTCCTCACCTAGCGATGTTTTTCCTCAAGTCCTTCTATATTGAAAATGTAGAAAACAAACACATTAGAACCGCCCACGGTACACGAATTGAGAATTAGGTGCGTGCAAGTCATGGAAACCATCTATTCTCAAAGTGGTCCGGTATTTTTCAACAGGAGAAAAAACGAACTCAAAGTCATTGAAATTACTATTGTTAAGAAATCTGGTGTTTATAGACTTAATTGCAACGACTGTAAATCATCCTACATTGAAAATTAATAATTCATATAGTGACCCGCTGCCTGTTACTATGGGTGTACCACAGGGAACAGTTATGGGTCCTATTTTATTCCTGCTTTACGTAAATAACATTTTCAAAATAGGTTATTTCAAAGGTGAACTAATATCTTACGCAGATGATACAGCTGTGGTATTTGTGGGTGATACATGGAATGAGGTATACGAAAATGCAGAAATCGGTATGAAACTAATTTACATCTGGCTAAGTAATAATCTATTGAGCCTCAATATAGAAAAAACGAAGTTTATAGCTTTTTCATCAACTAAAAAAGACGAATCTGAGAAAACCTTCCTCAAAATCCACAAATCTACATGTACAGAAATTCCAAACTGCTCCTGCTCACAAATAAATAGAATTGAATCAATCAAGTATCTAGGTATAATGATTGACCAAAATCTACGTTGGAACAATCATATAGATTACACAGTGAAAAGACTCCGGAAGTTAATTTACAACTTCGAAATATTCTGAGAAGAGATGTGATGTTGACGGTTTATAGGGCCTTGGCTGAGTCTATAATACGCTATCGTATTATTGTCTGGGGTGTTTCAAGTTAGAAAGCTATATGCATATAATTGTCTACTATGGATACTTAGCAGACCTTTAAAAATTATTTCGCATCCGTATAATACCCGTATGACTTCAAATCAAGTTATCAAAGTTCCACGCTGCAGGTTGAGTCATAATCAAAAATTTGTTACATAAGTACTTCGGTCCAAAATTGTACAATCAATTACCTTTTTATATAAAGAATATCAAGACCCATAAAAAATTGAAAATAGAAATAAGAATTTTCGTTGTAAACCACTACGAACAGTTGAAAACTATTTTTGAATGATTGGAAAAAATCTCCATATTCCTCTCTCTTCCTCTCGCTCTCTCTCTCTCTCTCAAACTATTTCATTTCATTTTATTTCATTTTATCATCGAGGTAGGTAGGCAATGCCAGGCTCACCAATGTAATATTCATTTCAATACATTTATTCTCATTCGTCAATTATGATATGGACACATTGAAACAAATATAAACAGTCTGCACCATACCACAAGCTCAGCTTAGATGGCACAGGACTGTTGAGAATGTATCTCAGAACCTTATTGACAACTTCTAAACTACTATACTAGGTACTATACATTGTAAATATCCTCTATATCTGAATAAATCAATCTATCTATCTATCTATTGGTAAGACAGGTAGGAGTTTTGAGACCCGTGCCTCTGAACACAATAGATTAATTCAAAAATTCATCAATTCTGAAAATTCTAATACTACTCCTGCTTTTTCCAACCATATCATTGAATCAAACCATAATTTCAATGTTAATTCTAATATGGAAATTATTCATATTTGCAATAAGGGTCCACGTTTGAACCTCCATGAGATTTAAGGAATCCAAAAATGTATCAATAACCCAGAAATGACCAGACTAATTTTGATCGTAATCATATTTTTCGAACTTCACATTTCTCTTGATTTTCATTACAGCATTTCCTGAGCTAGAGCCGTTTCTGTACTCATTAGCTTGACACAAAT